GAGAGAGAGAGAGAGAGAGAGAGAGAGAGAGAGAGAGAGAGAGAGAGAGGCGGCGGGGAGGGGGGAGAATACGGAAGGGGAGAATGGAGAAGAGAGAGGGCACAGAGAGGGCATGCCTGCTTGCCTTTTTAGGCTGGGATGTCCTTGCAGGCTGGTGACGTAATTAGGACATAATCCTTCCACTTTCCACCTCAGCCTCCTGTCCCACTGTACTTGGTTCTATCAAGTTTTTAAAATGATGGTAAGAAGTATGATTTTTTTTTTTTAAATTTTAGACTCACTTATTTTGTGTGTATGAGTGTTTTGCCTGTCTTTCTGTAGGTTCACCTTGAGCATGCTTAATGTCCATGGATCCCCTGGAACTGGAGTTACAGACTGATGTGAGCCACCGCATGGGTGGTGTAAATTGAATCCAGGTCCTCTCTTAATGGCTGAGCCATCTCTCCAGTCCCCAAAAGTATAATTTTTTTCAGCAGATGTGATCACGGTCATCTTTGGCTACATAGTAAGTTGAAGACAGCCTGGTTTGTGTAAGAGTCTGTCTCAAAAGCAGAGAAACAGTCCGCTGTGCATACAGGTGTGTTTAATCCCATCACTCGGGAGGAAGGGGGTGCAGAGCTCTGTGAGTTTGAGGCTGGCATGATCTACATAGAAAGTTCCAGGCTGAACCAGGAGGATCACACAATGGAAAAATCACAGCCTAGGCTACACAGGGAGGCTCTGTCTCAAACACAAACACGAAAGGCGGAAGTATATGTGAAAAAGGAACCGGAGAATAGTAAGAATTGCAAAGGAAAAGGCCAGAACTGAGTGAGAGAAGTCACCGTGTTCGTGGACTGGTGTGTATCAGACCTTACTATAGAAAGCAGGACAAGGTGGTCTGGATGACACTGAGAGCCGTGGATCCTCGGGGAGGAGTTCGCCCACACTATAGGTAGGCCTGCCGGCTTACAGGAAACCTCAACGGCTCTGGAGCTGACTCTGATGTTTCCTGCTACTGACGGTCTTGTTCTAACCTAGTTACCACTGGAAACTAGTAATGGAATCCTGGCACCTCCCACAACCTCACTGCAAAGGACAGTTCTTTCTCAAGATTCTTATCAGAAAACCAGTTCTTCTTCTTTAATTGAATTTTTTTGGTTAGCATACATCATGCAAATGAGGTTCCCTGTGGCCTTTTCTTTTCTTTCTTTTTTCCTTCCGTCCTTTCCTTCTTCCTTCCTTCCTCCCTTCCTCCCTTCCTCCCTTCCTTTCTTTCTTTCTTTCTTTCTTTCTTTCTTTCTTTCTTTCTTTCTTTCTTTCTTTCTTTCTTTCTTTCTTTCAAGACACACCTCTCTGTTATGCAGTGCTGGCTGTTCTGGAATTCACTGTGTAGACTAGGTTGGCCTCCAACTCTTCGAGGTACTAGAGATCCCCCTGTGTCTGCCTCCCGAGTGCTAGGATCAATGGGGGGTGCTACCATGCTGGGCTCCTACATACATATTCTTCATATTTATACATTTGAAATCTAGCGTATATAAGAGAAATCACATTTGCCCTTTCTTTTTCTTTTCTTTTCTTTCTTTTTTGGACAGGCCTTAACTCTACAGCCAGGCTGACTTGAAATTCACTACACAGCCCAAGCTGATCTTGAACTCATAGAGATCTGACTCAGCTTTCCAAGGGCTACACTTACAGGACTGTTCCACACATCCAGTATTGTAAACCGACTTTGCTACACATCAGCTCAGTCTTTCAGTTGCCCAAAGAGATGCATTTATGCATGTCATCACAGAATGACTCCCGTGCATCCCTCTTTCCCCCCAGAATCTGAAGGGGCAGATCAAAGGCCACTGCACACTAATTTCTCACTTGTGTTTTCATTAGCTCAATTAGTGACTTGGCAGGTGGAATCTAAGCTTTGTAGAAGTTGATCAGATGCAAAAGGACAGACCGTGAGGGCTCTAGTGCAGATCCTTAGCTGATTGAAAATGGAGACGAAAGAGGGTGGCCCCGCCCCCGCCAAGCAATGTCATCCATCTTGAATATCTTCCAAATGCCCATGTCTTAAAGGTTTGGTCCTCAGGATGGTGCCACTGGCAGATGGTGGAACCATCAGGAAAAAGGGCCTGTGGGAGGATTTTAGGTCACTGGGAGCATGCCTTTAGGGGGAACTCTGGGGGTCTAGAGAGGTGATTCAGCCAGTAAAAGTAGTAACCACACAAGCCTGACAAACTGGGTTTGATCCCAGGACCCAGGTAAAAAGTCAAATGTATCAGTAATCCCAGCGTTCCTAGGGAGACAGAGACGGAAACTGGCCTGAGGCTTGGTGGCCAGCTGATGGGAAGTCAGCCTGCAGCAGAAATGAGAGCGCTTGTCTAAAACAAGGTAGAGGGTGAGAACTAACTTTGGAAAGTTGTTCTCTGACCTCCACATTTGTGTTCCCTCCCTGACCACCACACAAAATAAATTCGCGACATTAAAAGCAAAACTTTCAGGGAGGATTGTGAGACCCTGTCCTCATTCCATTCTTTTCTCCTGTTGCTTCCTAGCCACAAAGGTAAGCCTTTTGACCTGCTGTGGGTTTTCTACCACAATCGTCTGGCATGCCTGCCAGAGGCCCAAAGCAATGTGTCACCCCGTTCCTGGGCTGGAACCTCCCAAATGATGAACCAAGACAATCTTTCTCAGTTCGTAATTATCCCGGAGTTTCAGTATTGTGATGGATGGCTGATTAGCACATCTGCCCGCAGGGGCCAGGCATGAGGAAACGAGTGAAAGCCAGGTGTGTGTGGGGGGCTGGGAGACTCAACCCCCTGCTGCTGTGTGAGCTGGGGAGGGTGAGGAAAGGCTGCCATTTGCAAAGCCAGGAAATCAACACTCAGCCAGAGGAGGTAAGAGTCGGGGTGCCACACACTGAAGAAGTGGCTCACACTTCCAAGAATTAAAGGGCATCCATGGAGGCTTTGAAACACGATTTCCATCAAGCTAATCCTCCTCTAAGTCCTGGATTTCTTTCTTTGGTCATTTGCCCTAAATTGCTCAAAGCACGATACTGTACTTGGCAAGAAACAGCTAAAGCAATTTAGGCCTTTAGCTTCCAGTTGCAGAGGTGAGGCCAGTGCCTCTGATAGCGTTTGAGGTTAGACCTTTACTTGTGTTGCATAGATAGATAGATAGATAGATAGATAGATAGATAGATAGATAGATAATATTCCTATATAGTTTATATATATGTATAATTATAGAGGATAAATCTTTTGATAAGTATAAAGTTGGTTTAATATCTCCTTCTGATTTTTATTTTATTTTAGACCAGAGTCTCACTCTGTGTCCCAGGCTACCCTCAAACTCACCGCAATCCTCACCATGCCTGGCCTGGCGGGGTCACTTACAAAACCGCTGGTGCCTGAGAGGCAGTGGTACTGCTGAAACCAACCAGCCCCAGGGATCTCTGTCTTTCTTTATTACCTCCTATTTACTACAAATAGCTGGGCAGACGGGAACGGTGAATGGAGTCTAAGGGAAGATGTCGGGAGGGTCTTGTACCTAGTTAGTTGCTGTGCCCTTCTGCTTCTTTCTTTACCAGTAATGTCTGGTTTCATTTTGAGACTACCTCATTAGCACAGGTTGGCCTCTGAGCACAGAAGACCATGAGCATGGTCTGCATGTTTTTTTGTTTTTTTTTTCTAGTATGCCTTCCTTGTGGGAACTCCGTTTTGAGGGGCCAAGTTGGGCTAGCCCAATCTCCTTTCTTACGTATCCCAACACCATCATTGCCACAGCAGCAAATGACCCTGACTCCCCACATCCTGCATCCCTGAGGTGGCAGAGCCCAGGCTCAGAGGAGCCACACAGGGTCAGCACAGCGTTCTTTCCTGGCCTTTGAACTCACTATGTAGCTGAAGATGTCATCAAACTTTGAATCCTCTTGTTTCTACTGCTGGAGTGCTGGGGTCACAGCCGTGTGCCACCTCAGCAGTTAGGAGTTCCAAGACAGGCGCCAAAGCTACACAGAGAAACCCTGTCTCAAAAAACCAAAATAAATAAATAAATAAATAGGAAGTAAAATTAGATAAAAATGTGAGCTGTAGGGGATAGTGATATTTGTTGCTCAGTGGTAGAGACACCCCCCCAAGCCCCTATTTTCTGAGGTAGTCTTGTGTCATGTAGCCCAGGCTCCAGCCTCAAACTCACTATGTAGCTGAGGATGGCCTTGAACTCCTGATCCCAAGTCCTGGGTTACAAGTGTGAACCACCATGCTTCCACATTACACTAAGACCCTCATCTTAACACGTAAAACAGTCTGGGGAGATGGCTCAGATGGGACCTGAGTTTAGATCCCAGCACTCACCTTAAAACATCAGGTGTGGCTGCCTGTAACCCCAGTGCCATAGAGTCTGGAGACAGGAGGATGACTGGGTCTTGCTGGTCTTCAGCCTAGATCCAGGTTCAGCAAGAGACCCTGTCTCAAAGGAACAAGGTGGAGAAAGATACAGCAGGATCCCCAGTGTTCTCCTGGGCCTTCCTATACACTCAGGTGCATGTACTTGAGCATACATGTGTGCTTATACATCTCGTATAATACACACTAAACCTTAGAGTGTGCTATAGTAGACTGTACGTTTAGCATGCTCAGTGCACCTGCCCTTCAGTTCTAAACCCAGCAACAGAAACACACACACACACAAACACACCATCAACAGTGTGTGTGTGTGTGTGTAAACAATACACATTTAACTCCCAAATGACATTAAAAAACAAGCATACACTACGGAAATGTTCCAGGACATGGCCCCAAACACATCAGCTCTGCGTGTTATTTTGAGACGCACCGGGTGCAGGAGGGGAGCCTTGCCCTGCTCGTTTCTTCCTGAAACTGACAGTGAAACCTCCCTTGAGATAATGTCCTCTTTGCCAGGAAGGAAGAAATCTCTTATCACAGGCCTCTGCAAACCCACGCTGGGATGGATCCGAGAAAACAAAGCTCCTCCAATAACTCTTCTCCGCCACCCCACCCCACCCCCAGCACCCAGTGACTTCTGTACGAGTTACCGTTTCCTGGCTCAGATCCCTCACTTCTTTACAATGTAGAATTTCTCTAAAAGATGCGGCAGCTTTCTGTCCTGGCCACTTAGTGGTCTGTCCATTCCCCTTCGCAGGTCCCCAAAATTAATAGAGTGCGTACACTGTTCTTCTGTCCCTCCATCTTGGCTCATTTTATTTCTTGATCACAACTGTGGTCTCAAGCACAAGAGGAGAATTTTTTTCTCTCTCTCTCCAACACTTCCCATTGAATTGGACCATATAATAATGGTCTATTGTGCCTGAATTTTCCAGATGAACCATGCTACTTAGATAATCAATCACTGTGAACGACAAGAAGGCAAGATTACACTAGAATCACACAGAGTTTGACTTTAAGACGTTAAATGAGACAATCTTTTTATTTTCTTTGTGTTGTGCTGGGTATGAAGGTCAAGGTCTTACACATGCTAGGGAAATACTATTACCACTGAGCTCTACTCCACAGACCAAAAATTGTTTTGTTTTGTTTTGTTTGTTTGTTTTGTTTTTGTTTTTTTTTTAAACTTGAGTATATACCCTGTGAACGAAGATGTTCACAGAAGCCTGAAAAGAGCATCAGATACCCTGGAGCTGAAGCTACAGGCACATGTGAGCCACCAGGTATTCGTGCTAGGAACCAAACCCAGATCCTCTGCAAGAGCAGGCCTTGGATCTTAACTACTGGGCTGTCTCTTCAGTCCAAAAAACTAGTTCTTATAAAACACACTGGTGCCGGGTGTGGTGGTGCACACCTTTAATCCCAGCACTCGGGAGGCAGAGGCAGGTTTAAGGCCAGCCTGGTCTACAGAGTGAGTTCCAGGATAGGCTCCAAAGCTACACAGAGAAATCCTGTCTTGAAAAACAAAAACAAACAAACAAACAAAACAAAACAAAACAAAAAAAAAAACCAGCTATGGGACCAGGACCTGTCCTTGGTGCGTGAGATGACTTTTTGGAACCTAGGGCCTATGCTGAGACATTTTGTTCAGCCTTGGTGTAGGGAGGAGGGAACTGGACCCTGCCTCAACTGAATCTACCAGGCTGAGCTGAATCCCCAGGGGAGACCTTGCCTTGAAGGAAGCAGGAATGGGGGGGGGGTGAATTGGGGGGGAAGGCTGGGGGGTGGGAGGAGGGAGGACAGGGGAATCCGTGGCTGATATGTAAAATTAAATTAATTATAAGATGAAAAAAAAAAGAAAAACCACATTGATGATTTCATTAACTCATTCTGGTAGCCACGGTGGCTTTATGTTAGTAAGGATTGGCAGAAACGATCAAGATTAGCTATGTAACTCAGGTCTCGGATCAGGTTTTATTTCTTAGGGACCACACATACTACAGGAATTGGTTTGTAGCTCTACATGTAAAAAAATCATGGTAAGTGACTGCATACAATTTGAACCCAGGGCGTGCACATAGACTTATGCTTATACTAAATGCTTATTTTACTAATCCAGGTGTTTATGAGTCATGCTCTCTGCATTTATAGATATAGATTAGTCATACCTGAATGCAGCCGTTACTGCAGAGACTCTGGTGAAAAGTGCTGAGCGTAAGTGACCAGTGAATGCTCAGCCCCAGTGGGGACATTTGTACCACTCTGATCCTCTAAGGCTGGAAGAGAAGGCAGAGAGAGAGAGAGAGAGAGAGAGAGAGAGAGAGAGAGAGAGAGAGAGAGAGAGAGAGAGAAGATGGAGGGAGAAGAGGATCAGGAGGAAGTCTGTCTCCCTGCATGACACAGCCAGAGCAGCAGGGACCCTAGGGTAAAGTCACTTTGATTGAATTCTGGAGAGAGCCACCCACATAATATCCAACCTTCAAGTTCACTACACAGTGCCTCGAGTTGGTCTTCAGCTGAGATTTGGTCACTGGGTCTCAGAGAGTGTTTATCAGGGAAATCTTCGTCTGCTTCAGACTTCAAGAACAGGGGTTTCCCATCTCAGAGAGGATATCTGCACTGAGGTCCTGACTTCACCTTCCTGTCCTGCAGGCCCCACCGACCGCATGGCACAACGGATATCCTCTGCTCTGCAGCCACAGGGCAGCAGCAGGTTCTTCTCTGCAGCCACAGGGCAGCAGCAGGTTCTGCAGACACTGCTGTCTCAGTCGGATCCCTATTAATTCCCTGGGGAGCTAAATAAAGCCTTCTGGATGCCGCCTATGTGTTTTCTGTAATTCTATACTTTTTTTTTTCTTTGTTTTGTTTTTTTGAGATAGGTTTCTCTGTGTAGTTTTGGTGCCTGTCTTGGATCTCACTCTGTAGACCAGGCCTGAGTGCTGGGATTAAAGGTGTGTGCCACCACTGCCTGGCCAGATTCTATACTTTTAACAGATATGTCATAGATATTTAAACTCCCCTCTCATTGTTTTATTGATTTAGTAGTGTGTGGTTATTACTTTTTTTTTTTGTTTTTCGAGACAGGGTTTCTCTGTGTAGCTTTGCTCCTTTTCTGGATCTCACTCTGTAGACCAGGCTGGCCTCGAACTCACAGAGATCCGCCTGCCTCTGCCTCCCGAGTGCTGGGATTAGGTTATTACTATTTTTACAAATACCATTTAATTTTATATACTTATGGTTTTGAGTACATGACATATACTAAAAATATATAACCCTACATACTTATATCTAGCCAAATAATATCACACACCATATAGTAATTACTTTTTACCTTATTCTATTTAATTGTTTATTTATGTATTTTTGAGACGAGGTCTTACTCTGTAGCCCAGGCTGGCTTTGGACTCACAGTGATCCTCCTGCCCAGTCTACTGAGTGCTGGGGTGATGAGGACAAGCCACCACACCTGACTTTTTGTTTTGTTTGAGTATTATTGAGAGGGAGCCATAGTGAATACGTGGCCAGAGGACAATGTTATGGAGTCATCTCTCTCTTTTGACCCTAGCTTTAAAGTAGTGGTTCTGTCTTTCTACCTTATGTCGGACCTGGGAATTGAACTGGCGCATTCGGTTTGGTCCATGAGCACCTTGACCACTGAGCCAACATGCTAATGTGTACTCGCCCCCCCCAGCCCCTGCACGCTCCATGTTTTTTATTTTGTTTTATGTGTATGGGTATTTTGGCTGCATATATATATTTTACCACCTTCATGCCTGGTGCCTGTAGGAGCCAGAAGAAAGTGCTGGATTCCCTGGAACTGGAGTTACTGACAGGTATGAACGACCTCATTTGTGCCGGGACCTGGACCAGGTCCTCTGGAAGAGCAGTGGTACTCTCAGCCATCGAGCTCTCTCTAGCCCTTCTCCCCAGACGTTCCCCCACCTTTTCTCTCTTTTTTTTAAGATGAGCGGTCTCTTATAGTACAGGCTGGACTGTAATCAAGGAATATCAAACTCTTATTTTTTTTTTTTT